CCTCCTGGCACAGCTGGAGAGCACAGCTGTCCCAGACACATCTTGGTGGCACCGTGTCCCTGTGGGCACAGCGGACAGGGTGCTTGTCCCTCTGGGTTGTGTGTGGCACAGCAGAGCAGCAGCAGCTGGTTTTGGTGTGAGCACAGGACCCAGCTCAGGTCACCAAGCCCCATCAGAGCTCAGCTCAGTGCCACGCTGGGCCCTGCCTATCTCCCGAGGATGTCCCTGTGCAGGTCTGCTCCCAGCCCAGGCTGTGTCCTGCCAGGGGCACAGTCTGAACCCGCTCTCCTTTCTCCTGCCAGGTTCTCTACCACCTCTTTGAGGAGTTTGCCAGCTTTGAGCAGGTCACCATCCTCGACATCATCCTCGGCTTCCTCAGCTTCTTCGTGGTGTCTCTGGGCGGGGTCTTGGTGGGCGTCATTTACGGGGTGATCGCCGCCTTCACGTCCCGCTTCACCTCCCACATCCGCGTCATCGAGCCCCTCTTCGTGTTCCTCTACAGCTACATGGCCTACCTGTCTGCTGAGCTCTTCCACCTGTCGGGCATCATGGCGTGAGTTGGCACTGGGGCAGTTCTGCTGGGCACTCAGGAGCAGGCAGGGCCTGTTGGGCACTCAGGAGCAGGCAGGGCCTGTTGGGCACTCAGGACAGTATGGATTTGTGCTCCAGTGCTCACCCCTGCCCTGCCAGGGGCACGAGAAACCTCGTGTTGCCTTCTCTGGAGGCTTTGAGTATCTGCTGGTGGTTCACAGTGCCTGTCCTGCCCCGGGGCTTGGTGTCAGAGCACAGAGTGCTGCTGCAGGGCTGGGCTTGGGGCTGTCCCCATGTCCCCACGGCCGCTGAGTGCCCCCATCTCGCCCCCAGGCTCATCGCCTCTGGCGTGGTCATGCGGCCCTATGTGGAGGCCAACATCTCCCACAAGTCCCACACCACCATCAAGTATTTCCTCAAGATGTGGAGCAGTGTGAGCGAGACCCTCATCTTCATCTTCCTGGGGGTCTCCACCGTGGCTGGTCACCACTACTGGAACTGGACCTTTGTCATCAGCACGCTGATCTTCTGCCTCGTTGCCAGAGTGCTGGGTGAGTGCTCAGGGTGGTGGAAGATTCATGGGATGGTTTGGGTTGGAAGACACCTTAAAGCTCATCTCATTCCAACTGCCATGGGCAGGGACACTTTCCACCGGGCCAGGTTGCTCCCAGCTCTGTCCACCCTGGCCTTGAGTGGCCATCTGGGTCGTGGTCACCTCTCTGGACCATGATGGCCTTGCTGTGAGGCTGGAGGTGACAGGGTGGCCTTGCTCTGCCATGGCATCACCTGTGCTGTGTTTGGTGCTGTGGGGAGATGGGGCTGAGGCCGTGGCTGTGCCAGACGAGGAGTGGGAGCTGGTCAGGGGTGTTGGGGTGAGCAGATGGCCCCGAGTGGGCTCTTGGGGATTGGAGGGGATCCTTCACCACCTCACCCCAGACTGTGCTGCTCCCCCAGGTGTCCTGGTCCTCACCTGGTTCATCAACAAGTTCCGAATCGTGAAGCTGACACCAAAGGACCAGTTCATCATCGCCTACGGGGGCCTGCGGGGAGCCATCGCCTTCTCCCTGGGCTACCTCCTGGACTACAAACACTTTGGCATGAGGGACATGTTCCTCACTGCCATCATCACTGTCATCTTCTTCACCGTCTTTGTGCAGGTGGGTGTGCTCAGCTTGTGCTTTCAGAGGGAAAGGAGGTTCTTCCTGGCCGTGTGGGGAGTGGGGAGCACATCCCCAGCCTCCACCCTGATCCTGTCACTGTCCCACTGTCACTGTCCCACGTCCCCAAGAGGCAGCCTGGTGACCCCGACAGTGGTTTGGCTGTGCTGAGCCCATCCCTCCCCTCCCCTCCTCTCCCCCAGGGCATGACCATCCGGCCCCTGGTGGATCTGCTGGCTGTGAAGAAGAAGCAGGAGACCAAGCGCTCCATCAACGAGGAGATCCACACGCAGGTAACGCTCTGCTGCGGCCTTAGCCCTCTGCTTCTGCTTCTGCCACTCCACYACTGYCACCACTGYCACCACTGYCACCACTGCCACCACTGCCACCACTGGGACTGCCCCCAGAGCAGTGCCCAAGGTAAGGGGGGACAGAGCCAGGGCTCTCCTCCGTCTGTGTCACCCAGTGCCTGCTCCAGCCCGGACCCCCCGTGCCCTTAGAGCCCAGCCTGGTCATGTAGGTCCATCCTGCTCTCCCAAAGCCTGTCCTGGACCCACAGCCCTGATTTTACACGCCCTGAGTGCCTCTCCCTGTGTCAGTGCCAGGGGAGGGAGAGGGTGGGCAGGAGCCTGCTGAGCTGCTCACACCTTGGACCATCTCTTCCAGTTCTTGGATCACCTTCTGACGGGGATCGAGGATATCTGTGGTCACTACGGCCATCACCACTGGAAGGACAAGTGAGTGGGGAGGTTTGGTGGCTGGGGAAGGGTCTCAGTCACCACCCAGAAGGTTTCTCAGCCTGGTGCTGGGTTTTTTCCTGGATTGTAATATCCACACACAGTCCCCGTGGGGAATTACGGCCCTGGATTGGGAGCCACACCACCCACAGCAGGGTGGGAGCTGCCAGTGGCCAGTGCCTGCAGGAGCTCAGGGCCATCCCCAGTGAGTGCCAGCAGTGCTGGGTGTTGTGGAGACTCCCTGGGTCAGGATAAATTGGGGAAAGGCTGGCCTGAGCCGTGCTGGTGGAACTGGAGCCAGCACTGACCCCAGCAGTGCTGTCCTGAGCCGTGCTGGTGGAACTGGACCCAGCACTGACCCCAGCAGTGCTGTCCTGAGCCGTGCTGGTGGAACTGGACATAGCACTGACCCCAGCAGTGCTGTCCTGGGCAGGGCTGGTGGAACTGGAC